TTGTATACTTTATCTTCCTGTTCTATTTTTCTATACCGTGCAAGAACCCACTATGATCTTGTCTTTACGAAAATGAATTAAATGAACAACTGAAAGTAGTATGATACATTACTGCACAGTTGAAAAATTAAACATGCGCTTTGATATACTTTTATAGAAGACCTTTATCATCTTCATATGTTAATAATAGTTTCGATTTTGATGGATGAAGAGAAATTATGAAATGTGAAGGAAATTTTTGAGAAAGCACTTTTCTTGTTAGTTCTTTTTATACTTAATTATTTGTTTACATAAAAACATATTCTCATTCATAGGCAAAGTTATTTTTTCTATTATTTTGCAATTTTCTTTGTTTAACTTCTTTTTCTACGTAATTGAATAAGATTGTTTTTGCCTTTTGAGTAAACTTCAGTATTAGTGAAAAAGAATCAGTGATATTTTAGAAATTACTCATTTCTCGGTTTGTAATTTAAATCCTGACAAATGCCTTCTACACTATCAAGAACGAATGTTTCATAATGTTTTTTGCCTTTCTTCTCTTTTCAAATCCACAAACACTCCTTTTTGTTCTAAAGCGAGTCTATCTTAGAAAAAAATTTCAGTCTTTCCGAAGAATTTCTTATTGACTTGGATAGTGCGCGAAAGTTTTCTATCTTTCTGTATATTTCTCTGTTGTGTTGCATTCATTTGTTACAAAAGATAATTTGAACACAGTTAACGTACCCTTATTTGACAAGCACGAAAACTGTAAATTCTCTATTATTTGATCCGCTTGCGTTTAGGTTTATATTTATGCATTGAAAAATAATCCAAGTATTATTTAAATACTCTTCTTGGTAATTAAGAAAAAATGAATTTTGTAACTGTCCGGTTTTTGTTATTTACTTCGCAAAGTCAGAGTGATAAAAAATGTGAAGCTTTATCAGAAGATATAATTACTTGTTCAAAAATTTATTCTTATGTTGCTAATAAACGAGAAATGCACAAGAAAGTGATAGGAAAAAATCTAGTTTTTTATGAATCTGAGTGTAGCTGTAACCGAAGAACAGATCACTACTCATTCACTCTCAACAAATCTCACATTCATATACACAACCACATCAATCTTCAAAGAAATTGGTGAGCTTTCACTCAAACATTTTTTGACAAGCACTTCTGACTTGAGCTTGGTATTCTTTCAAAAATCAGTCTTTGTTCAGAAGCATTCAAATCACGTGAAATAGGATGTATGTGTGACACATCCAAACTCATTCTAGAAGATATTTTATCATTTTACTAAATGTGAGTTATGAGTAGGTATAATGTTCATTGAATTTCTGATGACAACATTCGAAAGCTTGATTCGAAAATACAATAATTTGAAATTTTTCAATTGGATATTCAATTGAATAAATGTTTTTATCCTATTTGTCCTTCAGCATAAATCGTCAATTTACACAGATCAGTGTATGACTTATCGACAAACATATTTTTGTGGGAACATTTCTAAACTTGATCTGAAAGTTGCAGTCATATCAACTAATAGATGTGAAGCATGCAAATGTATGACGCATAATTCAGGTTCATTTCACTATTCTGATCGTACTTTTCTTATTCTCGCATAAAATCTTCAAGTTTTTACTACTTCGAAGAAACTGATGTTAGTGTACAATACGTTTGAAGTTACAATTCAGAGCTAATCGTTCAAGTTTTCTATTTTTTTGGATTAGACTGTTTTCATTTTTACTCTGAACAGATAAAGTTTTCAAGCATCAACACCACAATATGTTTAAATTTTTTCCTAAAATGAGTATCCATTGTTATTATGAGTATTTAGCTTTCAAATCATATCTCTTTAAATGTTTAGGTTTAACTGACAACAGACGCAACCTTAGTTGTAAGTATCGAAAATTGTTGAAATACTCGCTTCATTGATATATTTTCGTTGATAACTACTAATAAGAACTAATGAATACAATCCATTTCACGTTGAACAGTCACATATAACATCATAAAGATACAAAAACCAAGTCACTTTCTTGGATACGTTACTGACATACTGAGTTGTAACGAACCATGAGTGATATCTTGAAAACATGATATTACGACAATAAATACCCATAACATAGGAGTGGATATATAAGCTTTTCTCATTATTAACTGCATTGGTGACAATCTATGCTTTCGATGTAAAACGATCGGATAACAGTTCAATCACTAAAAGTGATACTTTTAGGCGCAAAAAGATGTTCGAACAATTTTTCATGTCTTACTGCACCCATTTGTTGCTTGTTTAAGTTTCTCATTATAAAGTAATATTTCTTGACTCGAACATGTATTTTACAGCTGCTTAATTTTCAAGATTTGGAAGAGATGAATTTTCTCTGTTTGGTACTTTGGTTTTCTCTTTTTTTTCTGATTACCTATTGATTTTATACAAAAAATAAACTTTCAAACAGACGGTTCTGTATAATATTTAAAAGGTATATCAGACTAAATTGATTGATTTCCTCCTCTTCAAAAGCATGAACATATTAAAAAAAACTCAAAACAATCCATAATTTTATTCTAGTCTCATATGTCGCTACATATGTTGTATGATTTATCTTTAAAATCTATGAGATGAGCGATTTTTGAACAAATTATACCTCTCTAGTGAGATGCAAAGTTCTTGTGTGGGAGATACTAGGGCATATGTAGTATCAATCCATTCACACATAAGCTGACAATATGTAGCACATATCGAAAGAACCGCATGAAATTTTTTTTTTCTTTGTTTTTTGACAACATTTGATCGATATATCTTATCAAAAGTACTCATTCGATAGTTGCTTTGATTCAATCTCGTATTCTATCTTCAGCATTTATCATGTTACGCACCGAATATGACTGACAATAATGAAAATTACATAATAAAAAACCGTAGGAAAGAGGAAGAAATGTACAAAACAATAGTGGCTTTCAT